TGGCGACATCGACTGGAGAAACGAGTCAACCCCGAATGACTTGAATAATCCTGCTACTCTTTTTGTAGAAACTCTGAGAGATAATTTTCTGTTCCAACATGTGAGAGACCCGACACATTACAGAGGGGAACAAACACCCAAGCCACTTGACCTCATCATAACAAACGAGGAGGGTATGGTGGCCAAACTGGAACACCTTGCCCCAGTTGGCACCAGTCACCATACAGTGTTGTCATTCAGATTTAACTGTTACCTAGTTCAAGATAAGGCCAGGCCAAGGTGCAAATATTACAAGGGAAATTACAATGGGATGAGGGAAGAGATGAGGGGTATCAACTGGCCTGACTTATTAAGGTACAAGAACGCAGACACTACGCTGAATATCATAACTAGTAAAATGACCCATTTGATCGATAAATATATACCCAAGACCAAACCCAGTGCTTCTAGGAATACGAGGGGATCCCTACACATGAACCATGCGGCGGTCGACAAAATTAAGAAGAAAACCCAGAAATTCAAGACGTGGGTTGGGTCAAACGATGAGCAAGACAGGAGGATGTATGCAAGAGCCAGAAACCAAGCAAAGATAGAGTGTAGGAGGGCTGAAAAGGAGTTCCAAAGGCTGGTTGCACGCGAGGTCAAGTCAAACCCAAAGGCGTTTTACCGCTATGCAAAGTCGAAATTGAAAACGCGAGTAGGAGTATCAGACCTGAGGCTTGAAGATGGTAGTTACGCAGATTCTGACCAGGATAAAGCTGAGGCATTGAACAGCTTCTTTTCCTCAGTGTTCACAAGAGAGGATGCAACTAACCTTCCTGCGTTTGAGGACAGACGGTTCGACACAGCACTGACCCACATTGTGTTCACAGAAGAGGGTATTAGAAATAAACTGTCCAGGCTAAAGGTCCATAAGAGTCCTGGACCTGACATGGTGCATCCTAGAGTGCTAAGGGAGCTGTGCAACGAGCTTGCAGAGCCCCTGAAGATTCTGTTTTGTAAATGCCTGGATGAACAAATGGTCCCCAGTGAATGGAAAGTGGCTTATGTGAGTCCTATCTTCAAGAAGGGCGATAGGCACTCCACGAACAACTATAGACCGGTGAGCCTGACCAGCATAATATGTAAAGTACTTGAGAGTATTATCAGAGATGCAGCGATGGAACATCTACTACGAAACAACCTTGTAAAAGATTGCCAACACGGTTTTATGCCGGGGCGCTCTTGCTTGACACAATTGCTCAAGGTATTGGATATTTGGACCCATATTCTAGAACGGGGTGGTAATATCGACAATATTTACCTAGATTTTGCCAAGGCTTTCGACAGTGTACCCCACGAAAGGCTGAAAATCAAACTGGAAGGGTACGGAATTCGGGGAAATGTCCTAGCGTGGATAGAAGACTTTCTACATGACCGCAAGCAATGTGTGGTGATTAATGGCACGAAATCGTCATCTGTACCTGTAACAAGTGGGGTACCGCAGGGTAGTGTATTGGGCCCGCTGTTGTTTGTTTGTTTCATAAATGATATGCCTGACGTTGTACACTCCTCCATACAAATGTTTGCCGATGACGCCAAGTTATTTCGGGAAATTAAGAACCAAGCGGACTGTGAAGAGCTGCAGAAGGACCTCTGTGGGCTCCAGGAATGGTCGAAGGAATGGCTGCTGAGATTCAATGTCACGAAGTGTAAGAGGATGCACCTGGGGCGTACCAACGGTAAGGAGGCGTACCATATGTCCCAACGGGATGAAGAAAATGTACTAGTTGAGACTGTGTGTGAGAAGGACCTAGGTGTGTATGTTGACAATGAGCTGAAGTTCTCGGGCCATTGTGAGAAGAAGGTAAATCAGGCAAATAAATTATTGGGTCTTATAAGAAGGTCGTTCAGATATCTAGACGGTCCGTCCCTCGTGACGATCTTCAGGAGTGAAGTGCTTCCCCATCTGGAGTACTGTCACCCCATCTGGTCCCCGAGATATGCTAGGGACTGTCAGTTGGTTGAAAATGTTCAAAGGAGGGCCACCAAGCTGGTGCCTGCACTTCGGCATCTCAGCTACCCTGCGAGATTGGAGCGCCTGAACTTGCCTAGCTTATACTACAGACGGGCAAGGGGGGACCTAGTTGAGGTTTATAAGCATCTCAGGGGGCACTACTCAGTTGAGTGTCCTTACTTGGAGCTGGCGGACGCTCGCCCCACAAGGGGTCACAGCTCAAGATTGAAGAAGCCGCAAGTCCGGAAAACCGTGAGGGCAAACTTTTTCGGAGTGAGGGTTGTAAACTCTTGGAACAATCTACCAGAAAGTGTTGTGACGGCACCGAGTGTGAGCTCTTTCAAGAGAAGACTTGACCAACACTGGAGCGGGTTCAGGTACATTCAGGAGCCGGTGCATGCCCAGTATTTGCCAACAGTGCGTGACAGAGACGTGACCGATCGCCCGGGCGGCTAGCGAGCCGACCTTTTGGTGAAGAATATAAAGGAAAAGAGTCGTGACCGATCGCCCAAGCGGCTAACAAGCCGATCAGTGGCGAAGAGGATAAAAGTAAAAAAGTAAAAGTCAGACCTTGAAGTAACTTGTTTATCTGTGGTTGGGATTTTACCAAAGCCCAGAGATAGGGATTGATAATGGGGATTGATAATAATCAGTAAGTCTGGCTGATGTGTTAAATTACTACAGTACTTCTCCTGTGTTGTTTCATGTGTTGGAGATAGCTGTGACACCTATACTGTAGGCCGGGTGAGGCGTGTTGTGTCGCTACTTCCCTGGGTTAGTTGTAAACCGAACAGCGGGAGTCTGGCAGTGGAATATAACATGCTAGAACTCGTATAATGATATGGGAAGAAGTTGTAGGATTGTAAAGTGAGGAAGATTTGGTAGCGTGGCCGATTATTTATTTAAATTTGGTAGTATATTCTTGGGGGGAATTTTCTAAACACCAATTCTAAGCACAGCTATTTATTATTCACTCAATGGTATGGGCACATTAATAAATTAATAAATCATTATATCGAAGTTATTCTCGGACACAAACATGAAATGGATACACTTCCCACCGTAAGAACATAAGAACATAAGGAGTCTGCAATAGGCCGGTTGGCCTGTGCATGGCAGCTCCTGTCGAGAGTTACTACCACTCTCTATCATCCATGAATCTATCCAGCCTCCTTTTAAAACTTTCCAGCGTTCCAGCACTTACTACAAAGTTGCTAAGTTTGTTCCACTCGTCCACCACCCTATTTGTGAACCAGTTCCTTCCTATCTCCCTCCTAAACCTAAACTTATCCAACTGAAATCCATTGCTCCGAGTCCTATCCTGCTCGGATATTATAAGAGCCTTATCTATATCCCCTTTATTGATTCCTTTCACCCGGTTAAATACTTCTATCATATCTCCCCGCACTCTTCGTCTTTCTAGGGAATGCAAGTTTAGTTTCTTTAACCTATCCTGATATGGATCGCTCTGAGGGAGGCCCAGCTGCTGGGGAAGCTGCAGGTGCTGCTGGACTATGTCTCCTATGGGGGAATCTGCTAGTTGAAGACTCGGTGCTGGGGAGGGAAGTCTCCCTCTGGGAAGGAGCTGTCGGCCCCTTCCCTGTTATAATAGTAATCCGAATGCGGACGTTCTTGCCTAACTAATCTATTAACATTCTTTTCATCAGTTTTCGAATCGGTGGACGAGGGGCACAATTATGATGTGGTATATCTCGACTTTAGCAAAGCCTTCGACAGAGTCCCCCACGAAAGACTAATTAGAAAGGTAGAAGCTCATGGCATCAAAGGTGACATCCTTAAATGGATTAGGGCGTGGTTACAGGACAGGAAACAGCGAGTGAGCATTAACGGCACTAAGTCCCCATTGGAGCAACGTCACAAGTGGAGTTCCCCAAGGCTCAGTACTTGGACCATTATTATTTATTATATACATAAACGACATAGATATCGGCATAGACAGCAACATAAGTAAATTCGAGGACTCGGCAAAACTACAGGAAGATCTAAACAAATTTTTCGAATGGTCTGAAAAATGGCAGATGAAATTCAACGTGGACAAATGTAAAGTACTCAGTATAGGAGATGTAAACAGGGAAATCAGATACCAGATGAACAATGATGCCATAGAGAAATCCGACTGCGAGAGAGATTTAGGAGTAATGATAAGTAGGAACCTTAAGCCAAGTAAACAATGTGTTTTTGCTCGTAACAAGGCTAATAAAGTACTTGGGTTCATACAAATGAGTGTTAGTTACAAGACTAGCGAGGTCATCCTAAAACTGTATCTTGCTCTTGTGAGACCACACCTGGATTACGCAGTTCAGTTCTGGTCACCATATTACAGAATGGATATAGAATCCTTGGAAAGAATTCAGAGGAGAATGACAAGACTATTCCCGGGCATTAGGAACCTTGAGTATAGAGACAGGTTAAAGCATCTTAATTAGAGCGAGGGGCGACCTGATAGAGGTGTATAAGTGGAAGGCAGGGCGAAACAAAGGGGACATTACAAAGGTACTCAAACTATCCAACCAGGAGCGAACTCGTAACAATGGTTTTAAATTAGACAAATTTAGATTTAGGCGTGAAATAGGTAAACACTGGTTTGGAAACAGAGTAGTGGATGAATGGAACAAGTTACCAAATATCATCATTAACTCGAATACCCTGAATAGCTTCAAACATAGGTTGGATGCTTATATGAGCAACAGGGGTTGGGTGTAAACGGGACTGCCCAGTATGGGCCAATAGGCCCGCTGCAGTTTCCTCCATTCTTATGTTCTTATATTCTAACAACGGACCCAATACGCTGCCCTGTGGTACCCCGCTTGTCACGGGTACACATGACGATTTCGTGCCATTAATCACCACACCAGTACCTGCGATCATGCAGAAAGTCTCTGATCCATGCTAGGACACTTGAACCATCTCCACCTCTCTCTCTTTCACACACACACACACACACACACACACACACACAAAATCTATATTTCTCTCATTTTACCTGTGGTCCCTTGTCCGTGTAGGTTGTCTGTAAAGAAAAGGAAGAATAAAACATTAATAAACGTCGTTTACATCAGGGGGAGTGAGAGTGGGATGGGGAGGGGGTGTTGTGAGGAGAGGGAGTGACAGTGGTGGGGAGAAGGGTGGGGTGGGGGAGTGGGGTGGTGAAAGTAGGGTGGGGAGAGGGGGGTCAGTGTGGGGGGAAGGGGAGGTGTACTTCATACCTCAGAGCCAAGATGTCATCCATCTTCTCACAGCCCCAACACATATCAGTATAGGTTAGGTTAGTCTTAAAGTGAAATTCGCTAGGGGGGCTAAACTTCAGTGACACTAAATAACACTCATCTCATGTATGTACGACAGTAGTTTTAACAAATATAAAAAGAAACTATGAAAAAGATCAGGTTCAACCACTTGGAAATACCGCTCATTATATCCGCTAGAAGACGTGTTCACGGTCAAATAGCGGCTATATAAGACGGCAACCATTTAACACCGTCATTGTGAAGGAGTTTCAGCGGACACCTCCCATAGGACTGCTGGGGTGATGATGCTATTGTGTTGGCTAATATTCTTACGTAAATTTCTACTCTTTGATGATGATGATTTAACCCTTTGACGATGTTTTAATCATTTGACGATGATTTAACCCTTTGTTGATGATGATTTAACCCTTTGATGGTGTTTCAACCCTTTTATAACTAGGCTGGTGATGATTTAACCCTTTGATGACGATGTTTTAACCCTTTGATGAGGATGATTTCTACTATCACCACTACCACCACAATCACCACTACTACCACCAACACTACTACCACCAACACTACTACCACCATTACCACAATCATAATCACCACTACTACCATCACCACTACCACACAGTCGATGTCGTGTATAAAAGTGCAGTCACCTCTCAGAACTAGAGCGGAAAGCGTATTAAACCAACACCACGTACAAACTCTTCTTCCTGTTGCCCCATGAACAATGTGGCCCAGCTTATTTTACTTAAAGATTCACCACACTAACGTTACCTGGGGCGTTAGGTTAGAGGGAGAGGAGAGGTGAGAAAAGGGAGAGGATGGTGATAAAAGGGGGAGAAAATGGAGAAGAGGCAAGAAAAGGGAGAGGAGAGAAAGGGGATTGGGGAGGAGGTGAGGTGAGGTGAGGGCAAATTTTTTCTGACCACCTGTGTTGAGGCCTCTCGGGTGTGGCCAGCAACACAATTCTTGGAACGAACTGTGTTGTATGCCTCACGAACACGAGGCATTGTGAGCATAAAAATAATGACCAATTAAAATAAAATTAAAATACTAATTAAAAAAAGACGAAGGGGGGGGAGAAAGGGAGAGGATGGCAGAGGAGGAGGACAGGTGGATGGGGAAGAGGAAGATGAGGAAGGGTGGAGGAGGAAGAAGAGGAAGGAAAGATAATATGTAGATATGTTTTACAAGAGGTTATACGATATTGATGTCAAATATATTATGAAGTACAGGTTTAAAGTTAGTCTTAGAACTTGATATAACATAACTTGGGATCAGGAGTGGAGGGATAAAGTTAACCTGTCGCAGCTAAGCCATCCTTACCTAAAACTAACATAAATATAAAGTAAAGAAACTATGTAATGATAGTTTAGTTTCAGTATAGAGTGAGTGATATAACCAAGGCAGCCCAGCAGTAGTGTAGACATGACTAACCAAGGCAGGACCAACCCAGTAGTGTGAAATAAAACTAATTTGTTTCAATGATTGACTTTGCACTTATGAATTGGGTGTAAATATTAGTTTCCTGTCTCCTTAAAGCAGAAGTTATGATTATCTTACCATGGTGGTGGTGTTGTGGTGCGAGGAGCTGTGGTGTTGTGGTGCAAGGAGCTGTGGTGCGGTCTCGATGACTCCTGATCACCCAATGAGCTGCCGTCTCCCTTGAACAGGTCAGCTCCCTCAGGCAGGCTCAGGGCCACCTCGCCAGTGTTACCAACCACCGCGACCTCACCACCCTATTTTGATCAGTATTCATACAATAACACTGGCAGGAAGGGTTGCAACAGACTGGTGGACGATTATACGTAATATATGGTCTTGATCAACTTGTCAGCCCTGAGTCGTGATGTACCTTGGAGGCTTGCTTATACCTGGTGGAACTGAGATATTAATCTTCAGTAATATCAGTATTCTCTGTAAATTTATCAACTGTAATACTTATGTTTTTTAATTATTTTCAAGAATTAAGAAGTGATACGTCCATATTGTACAAATATTGGAGATTTATCAACAAACTACATGTACTGTAGTGATGCGAGTCATACACCGCCACATACCACGACTCCCATTGGTCGGGTGATGAAGGTGTGTCCACAAAGGAGTCTCGTGATTGGTTGAAAGGAAAGGCGTGTTTTGACGTCACATGCCCTCATCCCCAGGACGCACTTCTGGAGGCTATATTAGGAACTACGAGTTGACGACGGTACACAAACTGGGAAAAAAATGAGTTATGCATGAACTTGATGAGTACGTGTTGGATCATCACTGACCAACATCCTTAAAATAGGAACCCAAGTCTTCAGCACCACCGCCAGCTTGACCACTGCCTGCTTGATCCCCGCCTGCTTGATCCACCTAGCTTGATCCCCACCAGCTTGACCCTCCTCCCCTAGCTTGATCCCCACCAGCTTGACCCCCTTAGCTTGATCCCCTAGCTTGATCCCCACCAGCTTGACCCCTTAGCTTGATCCCCCTAGCTTGATCGCCACCAGCTTGACCCCCCTAGCTTGACCCCCCGCCTGCTGGACCCCTCTAGCTTGACCACCCTTAGCATGACCACCCTTAGCTTGACCCCTCTATCTTGAACCCCCTAGCTTGACCCCTAGCCTAGCTTGACCCTGAACCCTAGCTTGACCCCTAGCTTGAACCCCCTAGCTTGCCCCTAGCTTGCCCTCTATCTTGAACCCCTAGCTTGAAGCCCCTAGCTTGAGAGAACCCCTAGCTTGCCCCTAGCTTGACCCTCTATCCTACCCCTAGCTTGCCCCCCTAGCTTGACCACCTATCTTGAACCCCTAGCTTGACCCCTAGCTTGAACCCCTAGCTTGAACCCCTAGCTTGAGCCCCTAGCAGAGCCACCTAGCTTGAACCCCCTAGCTTGACCCCCTAGCTTGAACCCCCAGCTTGACCCCTAGCTTGAACCCCCTAGCTTGGGCCCCTAGCACCCTCTATCTTGAACCCCTAGCCCTAGCTTGAACCCCTGAACCCCTCTGCTTGAACCCCTAGAGGACCCTAGCTTGACCCCCAGCTTGACCCCTCTAGCTTGACCCCCCTAGCTTGACCACCGCTAAAATTTGGAAGAGATAACAAAAGAAAACAAAATGGTACCTCATGAAAATACCTTAACGTTGAAGCCGGTTAGGTTAGCTTAGGTTAGGTTCGGTTAGGTTAGCGGTTAGGTTAGCTTAGGTTAGGTTAGGTTAAGGTTAGGTTAGGTTAGGTTCGGTTAGGTTAGCTTAGGTTAGGTTAGGTTAGGTTAAGGTTAGGTTAGGTTAGGTTCGGTTAGGTTAGCTTAGGTTAACATCTGGGTATATATTTAATCAGGTGAAATAAGTAGAGGTTCCTAATTTTCATGAGACCCAACAAGAATGGTAAGAGTAACGAGGGACGAAAAATAAGAGAGGGGGAGACAACACCTGCAAGAGAATAAAGAGGAAACAAGGCAAATGCCGAGAGGAATCACGTTTTTACAGCCTGACGGAGACACACGACCCAGGGGAGTGTGTGTGTGGCGGAGGTAATGGTGTAATATGCTCCTCACACTGACCAGCTGACCTTGTAACAACCTTGACGAACATGTGGCTCTACTGATGACACATTTAGGAGCCTCTGTCGTGTGTGTAGGGCTGCTGATCTACCTAGGTGATGAGCTGAATGACTAGTCTAGTGTTGGGTGTTGCTGATACAGTACTGAAGAGGTGCAGACAGTTAGCTCTTAGGGCATAATATCGTTTGCTATGTGGTGTCTGGGTTCAATTAGGTTAAGTTAGGTTTGGTCAGAGATATTTCAAATCTAATTTTACCTTCACCGCAACTCTTATTTCACAACAGCTGCCTGCATCTTTAAAGCACTACTAACAAAAGACAACTACACTATTCAGAACCAAGTAATAGTATTGTCACTGGTGTACAACTATAGCTGATTACCTGGATCATGGTAACTTGTGCTGTACTTATCTTTGCCTTATACCTTACCTCACCAGTTAACCAAGTGAGCTGTATTGTATTGTATTGTATTAAGCAACAGCCACTTTATAAATCTATATTTATTGTCTTCTGTTTATTCTTATATTCTAGGTTGTGTGAGCCTATGATGACCCTGGGCGATATATTTGTTAGTACTAGAGAGCTTTACGTCCTGTGTTCGACCCGGAGTAAGGTGGTTCTTGCGGGCTGGAAACACTCCTGTTACACTGGTGAGTTCTTGCCCTGTGTGTCATCTTCTGTGCGGATATATAATATGTTGACAGGTTGAGAATCGACATGTATGGATTAGAATCCTTTTGTAATTGTTTACGGTTAATTTTGGTTGTTTTGCAGTACAGTAGCTAAAACAACTATCTGTGCATACTTTGTGGGAAACAATATGAAACTATGGACGATAAATATTGGTATATGAGGGCTGTCACTAGTCACACTTAAAATTTCGGAGCAAATCGACTCCCAACTGCACAGATAGTTGTTTTAGCTACTGTACATCTAGATGTTATTCATAAGTAGTGAACGGTAGAGGATGTTAGCTCAGCACTGACTAACAGGTGGCTGGCTATCTTTATTAGTGTACTGAACCGCTGCTATTTTTTTTTTCATTTATTGGGCACTCCCCTACAGCCTTGTGTAAGATGAAGCGCAGAAGCGTTTACAGCGCCCAACAGGGAAGCATGCTAAGTTCATGCTTGCCTTATGTCTCATGACTTAAGGGCGTAGAAGCCTGAAGAGTCGAGGGCGTAGAAGCCTGAAGAGTCAATGGTTTATGTCTAAGCAAGTTATTGGAAGTTCCAACAACTTGTCCCTGAATACGAATTCGCAACTTTCGATTTACACCAGGTACATACTGTGCTGCTAGGTGAACAGGGACCAAGGAGACTAGGAAGAGTGTCCAAACAACTTCCGCCGGCCCGGGAATCGAACCCGTGACATCTTGCTTGCGAGTTCCTGGCGGTCACCTGAGCAGTAATGCTACAGGTCAACTCCAGTTTCCAATACGACGCTCCTGTTGTATTGCAGTAGTTGTATCCACTGCATGTTGTATGTTTTGGTTGCTTTAGGGATCAGTGGGTGTGTATATTTATTTTCAAAGATTCCGGATACCCTGTCGATCAGCTGTTGGTTGTCACTGTGGGTGTCAAGCCGTGGTAACTACAGCAGTTTACTCTCGTCCTTGTCAGAGTTTGTTTAATTTGAGGCAACTTTCATTTTCTAGTCATAAGTTTTAATTATGACACACTGTATGTTCGTAATGTTGTGTGTAGACAGATATGTTTTATGGTCACTTAATAGTAAATTTAATTATATAAATAACCACTTGTCTTGATGCTGCTGAACCTTAGAGGCGAGGACAGGGAGGCTATCACTCTTCTAAGCTTCAGTACGATGTTTATTAAGACCAGTCTGAGAGCCACTGATCGAGGAGTGAAAAAACGTGAACCAGAATTAGATGAAGCAGAACAGCCCGCCATTAGTCAAATAAAATGCAAATGGAGGCAGTCCAACATGGCCAGTTTGTGTCCCAGTAGATGGTTTGTGTGACTCGACTCAGCAAAGAGTGTGAGAGAGAGAGAGAGAGAGAGAGAGAGAGAGAGAGAGAGAGAGAGAGAGAGAGAGAGAGAGAGAGAGAGAGAGAGAGAGAGTCATGAGGCACACCCCCACCCCTCTCCACGTGCACCCAAACTAACCAGGTTTCAACATAAGCATTGAGTCAAGTTGAGATATAAGTAACCAACGTACAGGCCACATCCTAATGGACCCCAACTTAAACAATACTCTAGGGGGCTGATTGGAATTGGAGGCTACGTCGGTGTTGGAGGCTATGTCAGTGTTGGAGGTGTTGTTGGGAGGCTAGTGTTGGAGGCTATGTCAGTGTTGGAGGCTACGTCGGTGTTGGAGGTAACGTTAGTGTTGGAGGCTATGTCAGTGTTGGAGGCTACGTCGGTGTTGGAGGTAACGTTAGTGTTGGAGGCTATGTCAGTGTTGGAGGCTACGTCGGTGTTGGAGGCTACGTCGGTGTTCGAAGTAACGTCAGTGTTGGAAGTTAAGTCAGTGTTGGAGGCTACATCAGTGTTGGAGGCTACTGGCTACGTCACTGTTGGAGGGGGAGTGGTGGAGACGTCGCCATCAGGAGTGTTGTGTTGTGTGTCCTGCTGCCTCCTGCTCAAGGCCGAACCCTCAAGCCCTCACATAACTACAGTATTACCTTTATTTACCTACCAACCGAACCACCGCTCAAGTGCCACTGGTCTGCTACAACGACTTTAACTAATACCCAACCTAACCTAACCTAACCTAACCTAACCAAACCTAACCTAACTTAACCTAACCAAACCTAACCTAACCTAACCAAACCTAACCTAACCTAACCTAACCTAACCAAGCCAAACCTAACCAAACCTAACCTAACCTAACCAAACCAAACCTAACCTAACCTAACCTAACCAAACCTAACCTAACCTAACCTAACCAAACAATGTAGGTTCCTTCCGTCTACCAGCTGGTGTGGTAGATAAGTTCCCTCTGTCTACCAGCTGGTGTGGTAGATGGTTCCCTGTCTACCAGCTGGTGTGTAGAGTTCCTGTCTACCAGCTGGTGTGGTAGATAAGTTCCCTCTGTCTACCAGCTGGTGTGGTAGATAAGC